AAGCAACAGTCCCCCTCCACGCATGTGACAGCTGCTCCTGCCTAGGAATCAGCAGGCACTCGCCGTTCTTTTTCTTTCTTGGGGGCAAGCTTCTGAATCAGGAGTCACCTCACAACTGGAGCTCATTGCCCTGATTCTGAAAGCTCAGAAAAGAGGTCAAGAACGGGCAGCCACAGAGATGAGCACCCAGCCGGCTGACAACTCAGCTGGGTCCCTGGACACCCAGCTCCCCACAGAGGGAGGGTTTCCCACATTCAGGCCCCACCTGCCATCTGCCCTGGAGGTCTGCTTTGCTACAAGCCCAGCAGGATTTGGGTATGGTGGTTAACATCATTAACTTGACAAGATCTAGAATCACTATGGAAACAAACGTCTCCACAAGATTGTGCGGGGGTTTCTAGAGTGGATTAATTGAGGTGGGAAGACCCACCCTAAGAGTGGGCAGCACCGTTCCATGGACTGGGTCCTGCACTGAGTGAAGAGAGGGCGAGCTGAGCACCAGCGTTCATCTCTTCCTGTTTCGTGACCTTGGACACAATGTGGGTCTGCCTCACGCTCCCGCCACCATGCCTTCCCCCTGTGAGGGACTGTACTCTCAGAGTGTGAGCCAAAATAAACCCTTTCTTCTTTAAGTTACCTTTGTTAGGTATTATGTCCGGGGAGCAAGACAAAGAAATATTACTGGCTGTGCAGGGGGAACCTACGCCACTTCCTCCTCAAACCCCTGACCACCAGGAACATGACCCAGTGCAGTTCCTGTTAGAGGACATCACAGTCCTCTTGGAGCACTCGTGGTGCTAAAAGATCTCAGAGCAGGACCTGGGTCCTCCCGGAAAGTTGCTGCCGGCACCTCGTGGACAGTTGCTATGGCTTGAGAAGAGTGAACAACCCCTCTGGGATTCCTGCTGTCTCCTGCCCCATTATCTCCACCTCCCGATGTGGTTATTCCTTGGAGAACAAAGGGAAGACGCTCCTGTCCAGGTGTCCCCACACATGGAACGAAGGTGGCAGTAGGAAGGGACGGGTCTTCATCTATTCTGCACAAATCAACCGCATTTGTTTCCTCTTTGCAATTTGTTTCTATGTCATGGGTGGTCGTTTGAATGAGGAATGGCCCCCATAGACTCCAGTATTTGAACACTTTGTCCCCAGTTGGTGGTGCTGTTTGGAGACGTTTAGGAGGTCAGGCCTTGCTGGAGGAAGCACGTCACTGGGGTGGGTTTTAGCCCCCATTTCCAGTTTGTCACTCTGCTTCCTGTGCCTGTTTGAAGATGTGAGGTCTCAGTTTTTGGTTCTGGCTGCCTCCTGCTGGTATGCCTCCCTGTGGTGATGGGCTCTCATCCCTGTGGAACTGTAAGCCCAAATAAACTCTTCCCTCCATAAGCTGCCTTGATCATAGTGTTTTCTCTCAGCAACAGGATAAGTAACGAATACTAATACTCATTTTCTTAATTCAGTTTTGTCTAATAGTGCAATGTCGGGATTGCAGCAAAGAAACGGGGGTCAGTGGTGCCTGGGAGGAGAGGAGAGAGTCCTGACACTTGCCTCCACCTGCCTTTGTTCATTTGCAGACTTGTGTCCTGAGCTGGCTCCAATCAATCAACGTCAAGCAGCCTACTTCCAAGGGGTTTGAAGACAAAACCTAATGCTTGTTGCAGTCCAGTGTGTGGCCAAGGTAAAGCTGGTGGCCATCTACCTTGAGTTAGAGTTACAACCACTCTGCCCTAGGATCACCCAGGGTGTTAGTCATTTCCTCACTGCTGTGATCAAATATTTGACAAAATCAACTCAAAGAAGGAAGAGTTTATTTAGGCCCACAGGTCAAGGATGCAGTCCATCATGGTGGGGAAGGCATGGTAGTAGGAGTGTGAGGCACATTATCATCCACAGCCAGGAAGCAGAGAGAGGAAGGCTGGTGCTCAGCTCACTTTCTCCTTTTGATTCAGTCCAGGACCCCAGCTCATGGGATGCTGCTGTCTGTATTCAGAGTGGGTCTTCCCACATCAGCTAACCCAGTCTACATGATCTCACACAGGTATGTGCAGAGGTTTGTCTCCTAGGTGACTATATTTCCTATCAGGTTGACAACCAATATCAACCATCACACCTGATGTTATAGATTAGCTCTGGAATGTCCCCCACGGGCTCAGGTTCTCAAGGCTCAGTCCCCAGCCTGTAGCTCTATTTTGAGGGCTGTGGAGACTTCACTAGATGGGGCCTCGCTGTTGGAAGCAGATT